AAGAAAGATAAAGGAAAGAAAATAAAGGAAAGAAAGAAAGGAAAAATTCTGCTACAGCTAGTCTCTTACTATGATGTTCATCACCACTGCACACAGTAGGAACATCCTGTCATTCTTACTCCATTGCATCACCATAAGGTATACCTCATGCATAATTTTTGACCCTTTATAATGTTTGCATAAAGAAACACATTTCTTTATCTAAAATTAATATTCAAAATCAACATGAATTGTGAAAAAGTGCACAGTACCAGGGACAGTCACATCTGAAGTGCTCACATAACCTACCTTAGTCTTGTTAGCAATTTACTTAGTTATACCATAAGAGTCTCAGTTTCACAGAGTTCTTCATGACTGGTCATTTTTGTTGGGGCTCAGAAAAGTTTCCCAAAATTTTTCTCCCATTTTCTGCAGTTCTTTCATCCATTATACTGCAGGCAAAAGCCTCTAAAACCCTCTTACCTTTTCTTAACCTTACAGCGTAGTTTAAAGTAAAAGAAGAAAAGAAGAGAGACAGGCACTCTCCTGTTGATAGAATGTCATTTCAGAAGTCCTTCTGTGCTTCCTACTTTAGTCTGACTACGGCAGTTCAGCAACTCTGCCTGAAGTTTAAAAAAAAAAGAATGAAACAAGGAGGTTGGAAAGGATCACTGCATTCTCTGAGCACAAAAATTGGTGTTAAATTCCAACTCTTGTTTTGTCATGCCAGGAGAGATGCAGTCACAGTAAAAATTCAAAACAGAAACACCCAAGTAGAAACACAACGCTGTGTTTGTAGGCTGAAGCTGTTCAGGTATGTTTATGTGCTGACCTATGAATTAAGAAGTCAATGTTCAAGGTTTGCCACTCAAAGAGTATACAAAGAATCCCTTGTATTCTTGAGCAGTGTTGAACAATGCTGGAGAGATGGCACATCTCTCAGATGGACACATTTTAGGCAGGTATTTCTAAATAATCTCACTGGTTTTACCAATCACATGTAGGCAGGAAGACATTTGATTGGGAAATGTATTAATTTCATCATAAAGTCCACCTATATAAAAAGGTGGTAGCCACTTCATCAGCCAAACATTTTTTTTTCCCTATCTCTGCATTTGTGAGACAGCAAGGTCTAAAGTTACAAAAATAATTTATGCAATGGAAATCAGACTAACTACCTCAGACTGAGACCATGCTGCTCTGAACTCTGGAGACTCCCACCCATACCCCTCACCATGCATGCACTTTATCGTTGCTCTCATTTAAAAAGTACTGCTGGCTCATCAGCCCTTGGTTCTTGATGCTGCACTGTAAAGTACAGAAGAACTTCTGATACCTGACCAGGATTCTTTAAACAAGTCACAAAAGTTAAATACTTTCTCCAATGACATCTCAAAAATCACCCAGACTCATGTTGGGAATGTCAGATAACAGTCTCATGGTAGACCCAGCACCAAAAGAGGAATAAACAAATTTTGCACAAGGTCTAAACTACAGATGACTTAATTAGTCAGAAATAAATGTCTCAGCAAAAAGGAAGGCAGTGCAGATTCTGGAGGTTGAATATTAAAAATGCTTCCACAGATCTTTCACGTTTTGAACTTCAGTAAATTTGTCCATGAGCCAGCAATGTGCCCTTGTGGCAAAGGGGGCCAGTGACAACTTTGGGTGCATGAGCAACAGCATTGTCAGCAGGTCAAGTGAGGGGATCCTGAAGTCACATCTGGAGTTCTGTGTCCAGGTCTGGGCCTGTCAGTTCAAGAAAGACATGGAGCTTCCTGAGTGAGCCCAACAGAGGGTTACAGAGATGAGGATTGGGCCCGCTCAGCCTTGAGAATAAACGGCTGAGAGGGGACCTCCTCAATGTATATAGGTATCTGAAGGGAGGCTGCCAAGGGCATGGAGAACAAGAGGCAATGGGCAGAATCTGATGCACAGGAAGTTTCACCTTAATATGAGAAAAAACATCTTTACTGTATGGGTGACTGTGCAATGAACAGGCTGCCCAGAGAGTTTTCAGAGTCTTCCTCACTGGAGTCATTCAAGAGCTGTCTGGACACAATCCTATGCAATGGGCACCATGATGACCCTGCTGGAGCAGGGGGGTTGGACCAGATAACCCACTGTTCTCCCTTTGAATCTTAAATACATTCTGTGATTCTGTGTTTCTGTAATTCTGTGATCCTGTGTTTCTGTGAATCTGTGTTTCTGTGCTTGTGTGATTCTGTGAATACTATTTGCTGAACCCCAAGATCCCTACAGATGCTCATTGCAGCCAAGCAAGTCAGAGGTAGCAAACGTTTAGATAGTGTTGGAAGATCTTGCATCTGAATTAAAATTTTGAAATCCTTTTCCTAGGAGGGAAGGGAAAGGATATGCCTACCCAATTCAAGTATCCTGCCCTCCACAAATGGCCAATATCTAAAAGGAGATGTATGGTCATGAACCTGAGTGACAAATTGTAGGCAGTTCCATTCAAATAACAGTAGCCCTGAATCTGCTGTCAACCCTAAGGGTAAGCACATTTACATCCAGCACATATGAATTTTCCTTATTTTTTTTCAGTCTTTCGTTGTTTAGAGATATCTACCATAGGGTATCTGGACTCTTTCAAAAAAGGCTGTGATAACTAGATGCTAAAGACTTGCATGAGGGTGTTGAGCTACCACTTTAACAGATTGGCCAAGAGAAAAACATAGAGAAAAAAAAAAAGAGGGCTTCTGAAGGCTAAACACTGTCCTGTCTCAGTTTTGGGTACTGAGCACTAGACCCACTGATCTGTACATAGAAGACAGTCAAATCCTTAATCCCCACCTGGCTCTGAATAATGTATTTGCATTGTGTACTGGCTAGGCATCATTCTGTGCTTTGCCACTTCCTTCATGAGAATAGCAACGGTGAAGGCACGGATTTTTCTTCCTGCCTTTTATATACCCACCAAATGCAGGCACACACACACACACACACACGCGCACACACACACACACACACACACACACACAGGGAGAGAGACATGGATAAACAAATATGCACAGGTACCCAGCCACATAAAAATTCACAGTAAGTAAGGCTCACAATCAAACAGAAAATTTGCAAACGCTCTGAGTGTAACACGCAGGCTAACTAGACACACAACAAAAGACTCCTGAACCTTTATCAAACACAAATTAACAGGAATACATTTGAATTGTTAAGCCGAACGCCGCCTCAGCGCGGCTCGGGGCCGGCGCCGCCTCAGCCACGGGAGGGAATCCTATTGCTGCAGCGCCACCTAGTGGCCAGCGGCGGGCGGCGCAGCGGCCCCGGGGAGCGCGGCCCGGGGGCAGCGGGGGCGGCCCGGCCGCGGCAGCGCCGACCCCGCCGCAGCCTCCCGCTGCTCCCAGCGGGAACGAGCCGTGCCGCGGCCCTTTGCAACCACAACACATGCTCTGTTCTCGGGATCAAAGCTGAGGGGCTGGCTGCTTCTGTTTGTTCATCAGGTGAGGCAGCTCTCTCAGAGAACAGCGCCCGCTAACACTGGCAGGATCTAAGAGATAAAGCTTCATCTAAGAGATAAAGCTGCCAAAATTATATGTGTTTATAATCAAAAGGAGTCTGAATTTTCATTTTCATTCAGAATTTTCACAGGATCACAGAATGGGTAAGATTGAAAGAGACCACCGTGGTTTGTCTGGTCCAGCCTCCCTGCTTCAAGCAGGGTCATCCTAGAGCACATGGCACAGGATTGGTATCCAGGTAATTCCTGAATATCTCCAGTGAAGGACACTCTACAGCCTCTCTGGGCAACCTGTTCCAATGCTTTGTCACCTGCACAGTCAGGAAGTTCTTTCTCATATCCAGGTGGAACTTCCTGTGCATCAGTTTCAGCCCATTGCCTCTTGTCCTTTTGCTCAGCACCACCAAGAAGAGCCTGACCCCATTCTCTTTACTCCTGCCCTTTAGACACATTGATGAAATGATGAGGTCCTATGACCTCTGCCACGTTAAAGATATGGGAAGTTACTGTGTCCACAATTTATTTAGATATTCATTTGTGCTTCTGTAATATATTTTATTGCTTTAATGTTCTCTCCAGACACTCACATGTTGCTATTGTTCATGCAGCTAGACATGAGTGATTCCATGGCATGGTTACCAAAATCCTTCTGTGCTCAGTTTTTTTACCTCAGCATTCTCAAGATGACAAAATATGAAAATCATGGTGTCATACAAATACATCACCTCTTCCCAGCAGACACAGAATGTAAGAACTTTGGAAGAGCTGTAGGCAGAAAAAAACAGAACAAATTCAAAACAAGCCCCCAACCCTTTCAATGCGTAGAGTTGTAACACCTTTCCTGAAAGGCGGTGAGTGTGACAGCATATTCACAGCTGAACCCCTTGATTTTTATTTTATATAATTCACTTTTCAATTATTTTCTTGCAGCTTCTTTACAAGCAGTCCATGTTTCATTGTGGCCCATTAAAAGCATTCGTTTTTTCCAAAGTCAGCACACTCTGAGGCCCACTGTGCAAGCAGCATTATTTGCTTCTGTATTTTTATCAGGATGCTCCACTACTCAGTTTCCCTGCTCTGTGTCTGGAACTCTCCTTATAGTTGAAGATCTCTAAAGCACTGGCAGTAAGGGCCAGGGTTTGACTAGCAAACACTCCAGCCCCGCTGCCAGAGAGGAAACCTGACACTGCTTCCTCCTACTAGAGGAGGTGAAAGAAAAGCAAGATCTGAAAACAAAAGAGGTATTAATGGAGAACAGTCCACAGATGGGCTGGGCTATCCTGTGTCTGCTTAAATAATAGCATATTCAAAGATTAATCTTAAAGGAGCAGTATGAAAAATTTTATCACAAAGATAATTTAATTCGTTCCAAAACTGTGGTATATGCTCTGCATGGTAGAGAGAATAATTGCAATTTTGTGCACATTTTTGCAATAATGCTTGCTACCATATGGAGTAAAAATTATAAGGAAAAAACAGTAGTGAAAATAGTTAGTTGAAATTGAATCTTGCAAGTTTTCCTGTGGCTGCTAATGGGACAGTTCACAGATCTAAGTTCACAGATCATAATTCAGTGTATCAATATATATATGCAGAACTGTGGCTCTACATAAGCAACAGAGGGAAGGGATCCATCTGCCAGAATGATTTACTTAAATATTTGTATCTATTCTAGTTTTTCTCTCCTGAAAATATAAATACCTTTTTTTGGAAAAAAACCCCAAAAGGTGCATAATTATTTCACTAAATTCACGTTAACTATACAAGGTAAATTAAGCAGAAAACATAAAGGCCAAACACTGTACACAGTAATTAAGCTCAATATTACAGGGCTGTACTGTAATAATTACAGCCAGCATTCCATGCACACTCTGATAATTCACTTAAATTGCTTTCAGAACATGCCAAGAAAATCTTCTTTACCCAGAGAGCAAAAAAAATTAAAAAAAAAGTCAAAGAGAAAGAAAAACAAATTTGTATTTTTCATTTTGAAAACTATGATTTTTTCTTTTCCTATCTTGTTTCATGTAGAAAAAAAAAAGAAACAAAAACTCCATAACAAATTGAAAAACACCTAAATATAAATAGAGCATTTGCTGTTGTCTTTCTACTAAAGCTTTTAAATTTAAGGAATAATAGATGCCTGTCTAGACAACCCTAAAATTGTTTTAGTTACTGATGTATGGATGACTGATAAATGTCATCTTTTCTGCCTGCAGTGCATTTTCCATCCAGTCTAGTGACATTTGTCTATAGCTGACCTGAGTCTGCATTTTTCATTTGCATTAAGCATTTAAATTTTACAACTCTGGAGCTTCAGGATTCACTGTTTACCAGAAAATACAATACCATTCCCTCCTCCCCCCTCCACCCCAAAGGAGAGATGCTTTCTTTGCTTGTCACATGGCCATTTTTAATTAAACCAGCAGGGAAGATTCTAATCAGACAAAGGCAATGGAATTTGCTTCATACCTTTCCAAGTGAAATAATTATTAATTCCCTAGTTTCACATTTCTCATACAGATAAAATGAAACATGCAGCATGGACAATGAAAGGAGGTTTCTATTTAAATATGGACACGTCTTTTGAAACAATGCAAAAGCCAGTTAAGTATTTCATGGTAAATGACAAAAACATGGAGATGTGGAAATTAATAGGTTTACCAATTACTTTTAAAATATGCTTTATGCTATTAATGTCTTCAGGCATGTAATTGCAAGATGGTAGAATTACCTCATAGACAGAAATCCATTACAAGACAGATCCCTGCATTTTTACACACTTCTACTGAGAAATGTCTGTTGCTGCCTACTTTGCAATACACAAGATTCTGATATTTTACTCTGTGAATTGTATTCTTCAAGCCACCAGTGCTCAAACAAGGCATTATTTTTGAAATGCATTATCTCAAAGGATTCAATGGAAAACCTTTGTAATCTATAAGTGGTCCCCTGATTTTGATGACAGCTTGCTTTCCAATGGCCATGCAAATCCCAAATTGCATCAAATGTTTGCTGTTCACAGTTACTGCAGGCTTTTTTAAGGTTTGAGCTTCTTAAAAAGTCACCAAAATAAAATTCCATGGAAATTATTGCTTTCTATTAATATGTTTGCCAACAAGGCCTGAATCTTTTCATTATAAATATTCAATATTATTTTTTCATTTCAGATTTTTCCTACCAGCATTTTTGCAACTGTAGCCAAGGTAAGAGCTGGGGAAAATGCTTTGCTTTGTTGAACTGACAACAACATGGCTTGACTGGAATGCCAGGAAAGCAGGGTGTCCACCTTTGCATACATGAATAGTGCCATTAAGGCCAATGGATTTGCATACATCCTATTAGGGGTGCACATAAGTAGTCCACAATAGACTTTTTGTTCTACTGATTAAGTTACATCAGGGAATCTGCCCTACAACAAAACCCTTGGGCAAATATTTTCCCCTGCTGACTGGTACCAGCACATTTCCTCTCAGCTCTGAGAAAGTGTCACTCCTATATACCTTTTTTTCAACAGCTTTCTGAAAAGGTTTCTCTATGGTATAAGCCTGGCAGAATTTTCAGATGGTACAGAGAAGAGGAACTATTTTTTCCATGCCTACCCTACCTGTGGCAGAAGTGCATCAATGCAGGACAGAAGCAGGGGTTTGTACCTGCCCCTGTGTTAGCTAAATCTCAACCTGCCTGGTCCAAGACTCCCTGTAGTTCCCTTGGTCTCGGCAAATTTTCTCTTGGCATTTTTCTATCAGGCTATACCTCATTTGCTGCCATTCTGCAGAGCTTGCTTTAATATTTTCACCTCTCTAGCAAAAACCAGCACAGAAAAGCACCAACTACCAAGCACCCGCAGCAGTCACAGCTACAGTGGGAACAAGATTTTGGGGCACGTATGGTTTTTTAACCACTGCTGCTAAAATGCAGCTAGATCCTAGAAAACAGAATCAAGCAGGAATGGTTGCTGGGCTTTTTAACAAGCACAGAAGATACAATTTTGAAATGGGTCTTTTCACCATGTCTAGGAAAATATCTCCAGCCCCAAAAAACTAACCCAAGGGTTCTTTTTAAATACCATCAAGAAAGCATATGCTCTGAGTGCAGAGGAAGTTGTAGCAAAAGGAAAACAGAAAACAGTTAACCTCCACCTTGTCTATAAATCAGAGCAACCGATGTAAGTGTACATTTGGAGCCTACTGACCCAGAACACCAGTGCTGAACTTCTGTTTTCTCTCCTCTCCAATATGACTCCATCCTGTGATTTTCTCTCACAAGGCAGAGAAGACAGAGTAGTTTTGTTCTTTTGCAAAATTCACTGAGAAACATTTCTGCCTTGTCTTGTAAATCATCTGTTTTCCTCAAGAGAGTTGAGGACAGGTGTCATCATAGGACAACATCCAATATTCAGACAATTTAAGCCACATGGTGTTCTTAAATGCAGGAATCTGGTACTGCCAGACCTGAAGGATAAAAAAGCCTACAATAATGTAAAATCACTCTAGGATTGGCCTAAGTACTCTCTCATCAACATTCAGCAGCAGTTCAAAAGCAAAGACGAGAAAGAAAACACCCCACAGACACATGAGACAGAAAAAAGATAAAAGGTGTCCTGAATGAAGAAAAATGTGTTATTTCTTAACTGAGCTGTGGATTAAGCAGAGGAAAGGGGCTCTGACATGGCCTGCAGCTCTTTGTTTATACGAACATTCTTCCACTGATCTGAACCAATATCAGGTGGGAGCACATCACTACTCCTCATCTGCTTTCACCACTCTGGCTCCCATGCAAACTTAGAGAGGTACTAGGTACAAATTTGTGTGAAAAGGCTACAAAAAAAAAAAAAAAAAAAAAGAAAGTATTTCAATGCCTCATGCAGAATCTTCAAATTCAATGCTAGGCAACACACAACACACTAGAGTTTTGCAGGCTCACATTTACTATACATCAAGGTCCGAATCCTGCAGCTAAGCCTCTGTGAGCAACCTTTTGTGGTCCATCCCAACTTTAGGAACACAGAGATCTATGGAAAGCTGAAAAGGATAGCAAAAAGAGTTCAGAGACTGATTTGGCAGCTAAAGCAGGAGATCTACCAAAAAAAGAATAACAAGACATAAAATATTCACGTAATTATATAATTATATACATAGGTACCTATATATATATTTATATGTATGTATAAAAAATACATATATATATATGTATTTAATATATATACTGAAAATTGGAAAAGCTCTTACAAGCCTTCATTTATTTCCTTTCTTTAGAAAAGTTTTCTCAAAATTCTATATTGTTTTTAAAGGACTAAAGGGCCATTTTTCTTTGTGAGGTTGGCACGCTATATTGCAAATTAAACTCTACTTTTCACAAAAAGTGTAAAAATTGTCTTTCTGTGAAATAAAAATTCTTCTCTCATAAAAGCAGAGCCTTATCAGAAGATTTTAGTCTTAAAATCCAGTTTATATAGGGGGGACTAAAAGAACAGTGGCGTTAAAATGAAAGTGAAAGCAATGGCATTGCTTTACGGATCTGGTTTTATATCACTTCCACAGGCTGAAAATAATTTTTCTGAAAATGCTTCTTGTGTTACACCAATACAAAAGTGATCTGAATTTGACCATACAGCTTTTTCCCAGAGAAAAGGAATAAATGTGTGTTCTCCAGCAAAAGGAAAGATTATTATCTTTCTTTGGGTTTTTCATTGTTCTGATAGCTGAAGAAGGCAATTATTAGGACTGTCCTCTATATATAAATTTCTGTTTATCATTTTTATTTGTTTATTTGCCTATTTTTAAGCTACTCTTCTATCTCACTTGTCTTTATCAATAGGGTTTGCTTGACACTTTCAGTAAGATTCTTCATTAATTTCTACATACTTGCGATAGATGAGTAATGCGATGATTGACTCTCACAATTAATAGACAAATATCATGTATATAGGTTAAGAAAAGTTTTATAGATTTATAGGTATGTTTTACCCCCTCGCATGATTATCAAGGCACAGCTGGAGTTGGGACTTCTGGGAGGGCCGGCTTGCCACTATGGCAACTTCTGACCTCCAATCAGGATATGAGGAAGAGGTCTCCACCACTGGACAGCAGAGAAGGGGTTGATGGACAGGATTTGGGAGGGGTTAAAAGGTTAAAAGGGGATAACCTCCATTGTGAGGGGGCTTAGCACATGGTGGGGAAAATCTTTTGCTCCTGGCGTTGTAACTTTTTTTCTTTATTCTGTATTTCTTTTTTTTTTCTGTTGTATATTCGATAAGTTTTAATAACCTTCCTAAACTGTGAAAAGTGAGTAGCGATTTCTCACAATGCTATGTATTTAAGTATATATTTATGTATATAACGTAGCATTTAAATACAGAAATAATTCCAGTGCTACACTGGAGAAGATAGAATCCACCAAATATTTACCTGGGAGAGATAGGAAGCTATACAGATGGATAGTTGGAAATGACATTAAAGAAAGGACAAGGTTGCAAATTGCTTGATCAATACAGTACAGCAATGGAGAGAAGAACTGAAAAAGTCTATATCCTATAGGGATAAGGATAAATATGGGTCAATGATGAGAATTCAATTGCCATAATAAAAGAGGTGCAAATGAGAAAGCATAACTTTCATGCACGGGCAATAATTGACTTTATATCCAATGGCTAGTGCTTGAAATAAAAAACAAAGCTATAAAACCAGAAAAATATCATGATAATAATAATGAACAGTTGAGCCCTACTGTGTGCAACTGCTGTGTGTGCCCATTTTGCATCTGCAAATTCCTGCCTGTGCCCAAACCCATCTCTGCAGCTGATCCACACAGCTTTTATAACCTGTTTCTGACAGCACTAATATTTAGTAGACATCTGCACTCAACTATTGCTTCTTTTCAGATGTCTCCAAGGGCTATGGAACTCACCTGGACCAAATGTTCTCTGTTTGCAGACAGGGAAACTGAGACATACAGAGAGCATAATTTCCATATGGTCCCCTGGAAACTCAGGAAAAATCACTTCATGAGCCTCCTTAAGAGTGGGTAATATTCAAGCCATCTCTCTTGAGAAAAGCCCAGTCTCTGTCCTCACATGGGAAGATTATAGAAGGGTTTTCTGGCATAAAACAGCAAATAGCTGAAAACAATTCTTGCCAGGCATGAGACACAATGCCTCTTGGTTCTGGGGAGTGGAGGGGTGCCCCTGCAAGCTCCGAGGTTTCACACAACCTTTGTCCACGGCTGGGTTTCCTCAACCCTTCCCTGGGTGACCCTACTCTTTACCTTCCACGTTGAACCCCAGCATTAGCTGTGACCTTTAACAAAATCCTTTACTTCACATGGTCTCTACCTGAGAGGCCTACTGGGAATAACTCTTCCTCTACATCTTTTACCTCCTCGCTCCAGACACTGTTCTTTCAGAGAAATTTCTTTGCATCCCTCTTGCTCAACTGCACGACTGTAAAACATCTCTGTCTTCAAGAGTGTGTCTTTCTTGCCATCAGATGAATCAGATGTATAAAACATGAGTCTTCCTTCTCAGCATGGGAGACTGTTGGTACAGACTCCATTACAATACAGCATCAATAACAACCCTTTTCATGTTCATCATATCAAATTCAGACCTTTATAACATTCTGACGTATCTATTTAGCAGTCTGAATTTACCTGAGTGTTGATTCTTCCTAAAATGAAATTATTTAGGTTATAAAAGCTTTCTAGATATTTCCAGGAGTTAGCTGAAAGAAACATTAAAAAAAAAAAGGCCCCCTAAATTTTAATTTTGAAGAGATTGAGAAACAAGAATATCTTGAAAACAGTAACAGCAGAATTTTGGCCTAAGTGAGGAGCTGTGCATAAATTAGTCTTCTTACGGGAGATTAAAAGAATAAAAGTAAAAATATTTGGTAGCTTTTTTAATTGGCCTTGTCTGTGGGGGGAGGGGAATGTATGCATTTTTAAAAGCCTATAATGTTAAAAATTTTCAAACTAGGAAGCCATCCATATAACTTTATAAAAGACAATACAGGATTCCATATTGAATGAGGTTCACCAATCTCATGTGAGATCATGATAGCAATTTTTTTCCTTATTATGGACCTCCTACTTTCCAAATGGTATAGCTAAGCCCTCCACAGAGTTCTAAGATGTAATTTTTAAGTGAAACTGTTTAAAGTTCCTAATTTCAAAAATTTTGATGAAATGAAACACATTGAAGGAATGAAAGGTTGTAAAGGTTGTTCAGAGGTTTTCAGTAGGTCAGTTGGGAAAAAGTTAATAAACCGCTATTATGGGCTAATTCTCAGTTGTCTTCTACATTGCATTGTTGCACGTCCTTCATGATAAAATGCAAGAGGCATATAAGTGCCATCAAGTTGAGTTCAAAACTATTTACAATTATTTTGTACTGGAGTGTACAGCTAAAGGAAATTCAATACAAAGGGAAACAAGTCCCTTATCTCTATCTGCAAGAGCCGTCAGCAAGATGTGTGCTACATGAGACCTTTGTTTATTTGGGACATACTGTAAAAAGCAAGGACAAAAGTCAAGTGGTTCTAGTCAACTGGAAAATGTGATTACCTGTTGAAACTATATTTTTTTTTGTTATTGTTTTCACAGTCCTTTGTTTCCTATTTGAAACAAGGTGGCAGCAGTTGCTCATGGCTTTAGTTTCTGCTTGAGCTGTTTCTGCTTGCTAGTAGCATGTTACAGTTTGTAGCAGTCCAGAAAACCCAAAAGCCTAGCTGCAGGTAACTCCCCAGTCTTGCAGGTTTTATTTTCATAAGCAGTATGTGCTCAGTTCTGTTGTGTTGGGGGGCTTTCTTTCTGATGTTGTTTGTTTCTTTGTTTTTATATGGAACAATACCAGTCTTGTTTCTTCTTTCTCAGTTTAACACAACACTTTTGTGTTACCTGCTTTCACCTCCCCAGAATCCTAGAAAGTGAAGTCTGTCTTGCTCTCAGCAGAGGACTGTGCTCCCTTGGCAGCAAAGTCAGTGGGAAGTTTTACACTGGCTCCATCAAGGTCTGGATCCCACATCTTAACCAATCTGCATTTTACCTCTGTCTAGGTTCTTAAATATCCTTGACAGCATTGCATGGTAGCAAGCTAAGCCCTCGAGTAGCATTTAAAAGTAGTAAGATTTGATTATATTTTGTTCTGTGAAATCTGTGCACCCTTCTTACAACTGAAATGCGAGTTAATGTCACTTCACGGAAAGAGAAGGAAACCAGATCATTCGAATTACATGATTGCTGATGGATTAATTTGTGACAGAAGAAAGTGAAAGTAAGATGGTGACAAGGGGATTAGTTAACAAGATGCAGTAAGAATGCTAGGAGAGCTACACTTGCTTTACAAATACACTAGACTTTTTGAAGATATTGCCAGCATGACAGATAAAGGGAGTGTAGCTGCATTATATATTTAAATTTTCCAAAGGCATTGAAAAAGATACTGCACAAATGGCTTATTTTGAAAATAAAAGCCCATGTGATGAAGAGAAAGCTGCAAAATGAATTAAAATGTAAGAAGAAAGAAGGGGGAGGAAAGGAATAATGAATATAATGCACTTAAAATGGAAGGTATTCTCCTGAGAAGTATCACAGAGCTCTGCAGGCTTAAACGAGAGTATCTGAACCTTGTTATTTAATCTGTATAATGCTTTGCTTATAGACTCTTATTTGACTGAATTGATGAAAATACTTTATGGGATGCAGATGTAATTTTTTACCTTATTTATAGTATTTATACTATATTCAAAGTACGAAGCTTCTTCTTTGATACCACAGAGATGGAAGGAGAGGTTAGCAATAGCCTTTTCATTACAAAGCCCACATGCTTAATTGCTATAGAAATCCTTTCCCACTTCTCACATGGAAATGGTTTTTCTTTGGTACCTCTGCTATGGTTCTTCTTACAATGAACACCTGAAACCTCTAGAAAAGAAGTACCCAGTGGACTCTGTGAGGTGTTTCTTTTCAAATAGTTTCTCTTTCAGCCTTTGTAAATTATTGGCTCACTACCTTCATGACATACTGTGTTATTTAGATATCCATGCACAGATTTTAGATGGTCCCATTACCAGCAATTTTATGATTACACTTGTAGAATGTGAGAAGCACCAATATCCCATTCTTTATGGACAAGTGAAAAAAGAGAAATTTAAATGTTTTGCCCCCTTAAAAGTAACAACATGAGGTATTGCAAAATTTAAGGCATCACATATTCAAATCCTCCGTCATTAACCCACCATGAGGCTCATGTTTGTCCTTTTGCAAAGAAAATGACAGAAAGCACAGAGTAAGCTGAAGTCTAAAGCACTAACACAGAGGCAAGCCTGTGTTCAAGTTCTGCTGCTGCTGGAACTGGACCAAGAATTTTCCTCATCGCGCTGCCAGTTCTCATGTGAATACCTTAATTGCAAAACACTTGAAGTGTAAATTTATCTTATTGGTGTTACTCTGTGTTTTATAAATTATGTAGTAGGAAAAAAAGGAGTGTCTCTCTTCCAGCAGTATTCATCTATCATATGGATTTGCTTGTGTTAGATCACTACCATGACAAAGGCAGAACAGGGATCTGAATCCAGTTTTTTCCACCCTATTATATTCTTAATATAAGGAATATTGCTAATCTATGGAATATTAGCACTTATTCGGTCTTGTGCTGACACAAATTTAAAAAAAAAATGCAAGAGATCTGTGTTTCAGATATGTGCTTTATTAACCCCAATTCTAAGCAATTTTTGTCTTCTGAGTGTCCATCTGTCCATATCCTCCTCCATGGCTGTGGACAGTGATACAGAGGATAGTACCTAAGAAACATACCAAAACTATTTTGAGGAACACAAGATCCATCAGGACCAAGATATTTACAAAAATATACATGTTGAAAAAATGAAGAAACTAAATCAATTGCTTCTAAGTTCATAGTCTGTGTATAAAATGTTCTTTTTGTTCACATAAAGAGCATGCTATTATACTTCTTCTCATTAGCCACAATGCAATTTGGCTCCTGCCACATCAAAATTTTGGTATTTTACTGTCTTTTCCAGGTTATTTAGGAAATTTTGTTTCCTTTTTTAAAGGAGACACATATTTGAAGGAATGCTGACATTCACTGAAGAATAAAGTTTTTTGGTTTTGTGGTGGCACTTGAATAGAAGTAACATTTGCAGAAAATAACGCTTCTGAGGACATTGAATCAGGTAAAGTGTGGTTTCCTAAGAGGGGTGGAACTTTCAACCTGAGTGCAATCTTCAGCTTTTAAGCCATGTTTCTTTAAGTGAGATCAGCAGAGGTGATTAAATTCTCTGGGCCCTGATCCAACAGAAAAACTCTATTGAGTTGAACAAAGCTGTGGCAGACATTACATAAATAAGACGAACAGCCACTATGTCAAGGATGTTCTTGCCAGCCCAGTTCAGGACAAAATATTCAGCGCATCTCAAATTTGAACTGCTCAGTTCTTTTCAAATCAAATACAACATGCAGATACTAAAAAATTTCTTGTAAAGCAAATGGTACCTAAAGAAAATTTTTAGTATGCCAAATATCAAGATTTACTGCTTGTTTAGGGAATGTGACCTTCAGCTCTTTTTCAACAGGAATCATATAACTTTTTTTGATTGATATTCAAGCATCTGCAAAATCATTCAAAGAACAAGAAATTATGGAAGTACTTTGGCTCAGAAATTATGAATATATAATTTTATATATGAAAGATTGCAAATTACAATATATTTTGGATTTTTTTTAATTTTACAGTTGAGACAGGATATGCTGTTACTTTGGGTTCTTAAAAATTTTGAGATTAAGCTTTAAATTTCATGAGTTGAAGCACATAGGTCACATAAAGGCATTCTTAAATTTGTAATCCATCTACAGATAAATGTCCTTGTAATTGAGAGAAAGAAAAAATGTACGTATGGTCCATAGCAAGCTTCTAACATGTCTTCAAACGGTTGTTTACTGTGACCATTAGTGGTTGGAAGACATGGTTCTATGCAGAACTATTTAAACCAAAAATATTAATTTGGCCCTGAATTAAAGATGAAAATAAACTGTGCAAAAACCCAACAATTATTGAAAGGGAAGACATCAGGAAATTAATAGAATTCTAGAGACAATAGGATAATTCAGAAGCCATTTCTGATGTGCTCTGCTCTCCTTGAATTTCCTGATCTGTCTTCAAGGTCAGCTGTGCATAATGTCAATGGATTGTGCTTGCTTTAATGGAGGCTATCATTCTCATCAGCATGATCTGAGGAGCAGCCACAACATCAAACTGCAAACTAAACAAGGAAAATGTTGTTGACCACCATGTCTGCCTAGAATTTCAGAAGGAACAGAAATTTCAACGAGACTCAGAATCCAGCCAGCAGAAAAAACAAACCTATGGCTGCAGGTCTGCTGGATGGCACCCAGTGTACTTTGATTCATTCGTTGTTTCTCTCTCCTTTCCAGCTCCAGAAAGCCTCAAGGTGCCATGATTTCTGTGAACCTGTTCTACTGTGCACTGAGGATAGGTTCAGGGGAATATAGCACAGACTTTGCATAGATCAACAGAAATCTACCGAGAGAAAATTGGAAACTTGAGGGAAGGCAGGGTAAACCCTCAGAGGAACAACCAGCAGCCAACTACCCACCCAAAGGCTTTCCCATTAAAGAAGAAGAATTAAAAAAAAAAAAAAAAGCTGGTGTTGGTTGTGGAATTTTTTTTCCTGTTGTGGATCACTGTTTCTGTATTTGACACTCCTGGCCTTGGCATGTATTTTTAATTGCCTTGCTATAGTCCACTGGCATTTTAGGATTGAGAACTCAAACATCAGGTCAATCAAGGCTCTTTGGTAACAATGTGAACCACATGGCAGAAGGAATATAGGTGCAGCAGTTTCATCAGCTTTTATTTGGGAATGTGGGAAGCATATTAGGTATGAAATGGCTTTGCTGTTCAGGAAAGCATTAAGTAATAAATAGCAAAGGAAATAGGACTGGCTGATTTTAACATTGGTATAGATGCAAAACTGTTGATGCTGTCTTATTGCTACAGGGAGGTGTTAGCTGTCAGATCCTATTGATTTCAGCTTAGATGTCTTAATTAGTCAATCCTATTGATTTCGATGAGGATGTCATGAAAAGTAATTACTTTACATTCAGCATAGTCATTTTTTCTATTTTAGCATCTTTTCTCCTTCAAAAATCAGACTTCTTAAATTGCTAATAACACTAATACCAAGAAGGCAGCCAGATTATTTGGTGTAAGACTCAAAACTAGACTCCCAAGACCACTTATCATCATTTTGACAGTTTTTGAAACAGACCACCGGAGCTACACTCAAAACTGTCAAAAAAAAGTTGTGTTTCAATACTGCTTCTTCCCCAAGGTCTGATTACAGTTTGGTATTCTTAACTTATTGAATTTTCCCTCAAGTAGTCTTTGTGCCTGAAAATTGTTGAGCTGTTCCATCGTATTAGCAAGAAGTGCTTGTTCTAGCAGTGTACAGCAGGGACAACAAAGCTCAGAGAGTGCTATGTCACCTCATTCATTTTTCCACACTTCTCACTTATTTATTTCATGTCTGACATCTTCTCTATGTCTTTGCATGATCAAAGTCAGGAGAGCTAGTTTTTGGTGCACTATGGATCAAAGGCTATTTTTATCAAAATGATTGCATTTGGCTAAAATCAATATACATATTTTATAACACCTTTCAGTTTAGTCTCAAGTGTTGTTTGGGTCATGCTTTAATTTAAAATTAATCACATTTTACAGACAAAAGACCACAAGTAAAAGACTTAATTTATAGACTAATACTAGCCACACTAGAATGTGAATATATTTAAACAAACTGGGAGAGAAGTTCTCCCGAACTAGGACAGCAGGAAAAAAGACTTTTACTTTTTTTATTTAAATAATAAATAAAGAAAAATATGCACACATAAATAAATATATTAAAGCCAGCAATCTTCATGAAATGATCTTCAGGAAGTATTTTTAATGTACTTAAGTAGAGCACAAAAGTTTGACAACACAATGGCCCTATCCATGTCATTCTGACTATCTTCCCAAGAAACACAAAGTTAACACAAACTTTTTGTTTTTGTCTTTTACTGAGCCTGCCCCAAAGCACTCTAACAAAGGCTGGTTGTCTCTAAGCAGTTTTCCAATATGATAACCAAAAGCAGGTCCTGAGTTTTAGCTGAGAAGACTATATTAGGGTCTAGGAATACTAGACCATACTTCTACTTTTGGAAGAAGAACTGCACAGAGATATGAACATATTTATGAACTAAAAGAAGAAACCTGATGTAATGACATTCGACAACAAAAAACAGAGTCCATAATTCAACAACATCTTGTCCATTCCGAAACAGATTTTTGCTCTCACAATGTTGAGACTGGGCAAAGTAATAGAGTATAAAATGGGCAGAGAAAAATAGACAAAATGTTTCCTGACAGACTGACTCACTGTAAGAGACCATTCTCTGCGTAGACATGAGGTTCCTTGGTTGTTGTCTCACCAGTTTTTGGATCATCGCTGAAATATTCTCCTCCTATTAGTCCAGAAGCAGAACTGCTGAGCTGCAAGGCTGATTCACACACTCTCCTTGCAATGTTACCTGTTTGTTTTGAGGAGTAAAGGATGAAACAGACTAAAATGATCCCTTGTAGTTTTTATCTAGGACATTGTGATCTTGGGCAAATGCCCTTCTTTCACAGAAAAATAGTATAGTTTTCCGAGTAATTTATACAACAGAATTAGTTGAAGACAGTTCATGGACTAATTTCCAACACAAGAAGGGAAAGCTCCATATTAACACCTTCTTCATTTAGATTGGATTCTTGTAGTTTAAGAGGATAATATTTGGTTCATGTAATGGTACTGAATGCATATCAAGGATTTTGGGAATCATGTAGTTTACAGTATCTGCAAAGATTTTCACAATGTAAAGCCTGTTGGATTAGTTTTATATCAGGAGTAATTGTCTGACTGTATAAACCTGTGCCACATCTTCTATAATAAACAGTGGTTTATCATAGAACTGAGATTGCTTTCTTAAAGTAGAAATTTTTATAAAGTCACTGTTAAAGCATCATTTAATTCAATGTTTTAATGGGATGTTATGTAATTGTATGGCTATTTTAATATAAATTAGAAATTTCCTGACATGGCATATTTTACTTGCCTCAACGTGTATATTTTCTTCTCAAAATCAGGTGACTGTTTTTCAGACCTTCTGAGCATCTGCTGCCTTCTGGGATGGGTAGCACTGGAAGTACCATTTCCTGAGTACCTCAAAAATTAGGGGAAAAAAAACCCAAGGAAACAAACAAATATAAAACAACCCCAAGAATATCTATGGGAATTCATTTCGGAGAGAAATTTAAAGGAACTAGTTTTTTGTCTGGCATTTCACAATTTAAGAATCTATACATTTATTTTGTGATACTTTCTCTGAAGGTCATTTTTGAATCTTGCTGTATTTGTACACTATTGCTGTATCAGATTTTTCTCCTGTGAGGTGTCAAATCCTCCTTTCTCTTTGTGCCCTAAATGTTCAGATTTGACCCCAAAGTTGTGGAAACTGGCCAGGAAGTTCAATGATACAATAAAGCAATCTTTGGTGAACTGTTTGACTTTAATTTTTTTTTTTTTTAATTGCATCTATTTTTTATTCAGCTGTACAAGTGAAGTGTAATGTGGCCACTTAGATCTTCACAGACATTGACACTGCTGTATTTGTAGTGTGCAAAATCAAACAACCAAGAGAGGATTTTTTACATTTCAATATACCCTCCTGAATACCAATAATATTGTTTTATATCTTTGTCTGCAAAGATATAAAGCATGGGAATGAAAGACCCCATACTGAAAAATGACTAGGCCACAAGGAGGTTTCTTTGTATTACCTTCTGTGTTCCTTCCAGATGATCCTCACAAATTTGAGTTTAGGTCAGTGTTTAAATTAAGGTAATAGTCCATAGCATGCTAAACTTTTATGATTTTGAGTGGGAAAAAATAGTGTCTTCAGGTGTCATACTAAGCTGGAGATTCTGTAGCAGAAAGAAGACACATTTATCTTACTTTGGATACTGCGAGAGGTAGTTCCCTCCTAAAACTGATGAAACAGCTGGAATAATTCAATGTTTATTATATACTTGACAGAGAACAAAAAACTGAATCTGTTAAGAATCCCTAAGACATTGAGCCAGTTGTGTGTATATTGCAGTGGATCAATGCAATATAAACATATATACATATACAACTTATTGTGTATGCACCATAATCTCTTGCTTTATTTAAATAAACTTAAAAACATAAACATTTAAAATAAATAAATGTCAAAAAACTTTGCAACAGAACCTTCCCTGTCAAAAATATCATTCTGAAGGATCTGAATACCAATATATATATATGTGACAGCTTAATTTTTCCTAGCAATCTCAAATTTTTACTTCTATTTTGCTCTTTGTACACTAAAGTGAATTGAAGCTGTGGGTTATTTTGTGCACTGATGTGTATGAGCATTAGGTGTTAGAAATATGGCATCTCAATTTCTTATATGTCTCCTCTACAAATCTCTGGCCTGTGGAGATTTCATAATACTTTTGGGTTGCAACAGAAAAAGAATAGATTGTCCATCTGACCTCTTAACATGAATAAGTCAGAAATCAAAGGCAGCAAATTTAAAAATCTCCGTGTTATCTTTGGTCAGAATGATATTATGAAAATTTGGGAGCGTCAAAGGTGAATTTGGGATAATGAACAAAGTTAGAGTAAAATACTGTAGAACTGTAGGCAGGGCCTGTATGCATCCCACAGGTGCTGGACTTTGCTAATTGGTACAATTCCACCAGTTTCAAAAAAATTTAGGAATATATTACACAAAGTTTGGAGTAAGAAGGACTGTGCCTTGCATAAGTGCTCTTCTGGGTGCTGGGCTGCAGCAGGGTCCTGCACTCCATGGGCACTGCTCTGCCTCAGCCCTCCCTGCCTGTGGGAGCCCCAGAGATGCTGGCCAGCCAGGCAGGCACCCAGGGAGCACGCTGAGTCCCAGAGATGAAAAGTGGCCATCACACAGAGAGAGAGGAGATGGGAGACAAATGTATTAACAGAAAAAATATCCTGCTCTGGTGAGCAATTCTTTTTCCGCAGGGAAAGCTTGTTTTACTACCATAGGTTACAAAGATAATAAATACAGATTTCTCCCTCTCTTCTGATCCCATTTTCATATCACCAAGAAACATGAGAACTCTTTTTTACTCATCCTTTCAGCTGTTGTAAAATTCACTTGTTCATTCCCATTTATCATTTTTTGCCTTTTACTGGAGAAAAAAAGAAACCAAACCTGTTTATCACCTTTGCCTTTATAACTTTTGACTTACTTAATAGACTAAAAAATTTTTTTTGGATGGCCAAATATATTTCTACTTTCCTTTTCCAGTGTTTTGTTAGCATGCTCAGGAGTGCTCTGGTATATAAAGCTTTGATTCATCAGATCGCTCAATCCCAGCTTTAAATCCTTTTGAAACACACAATTAGGTGGGTGTTCTACTGAGGCAGTTCTTCAAGATGTTCTTTTCTTTTATGAAAGTGATGTGAGTTATAATAAAATGAAAGGATCATCGAACTGGTTCAAAATTGCTCATTTAATTTCTGTGGAGTTTTTTTTCCTTTCCTATGCCTGGTAAGATTAATATACCTGTAAGTCTCAATATAATTTTATACAGCTTATTCAGAAGAAAAACATATATTGTCTTTTTGTCAGTTGTGTAAGACCTAATACAAAGAACAGCAGATTCTCATGGTTATATTTCAAGTATCCTAATGTGAATGTGTTCAAGTGATTTACCTCAATGTGTCTGTTTTGCAGATAATGAAATATTTATTTTGCCTTCATCACTTCTCTGAGGAACACATGCAAACTAGGGTTGTTCAGTCATTATCATGTGTGGCCAGATGATTTCCTGACCTCTGTCCTCCAGAGGAGGGATAAACAATCTGGCCTGTGCTGTTCCCCAAGGCATGTCCAGCTCCTATAAACCCCTGGAGGGTCAGATGGACTTCTTCTGGAGCTCAGTCTCATATTGAAACCCATAGGCTCACACTGAAGTTCACACTGAAGATGGCAGAATGCATGAGGCCAAATACAGTATTGCACACATCTAGGTCTATTTCATGGTATTTTGAAGGTCTGGCTAGAAATAAAAATGTTTCCCACTCACAGAAAATATGTACAAGCCTGTAAGGCTTAGGAAAGCACAGGAGGTTGTTGGTACTGAGGTGGTCTTGGCTTGCCTGTGTTTCAGCCCTGGAGACAAACTGGCTCCAGACAATACACTCTCCTGATGCATCTGTAATTGCAACAAGTGACAGAATCACAACAGTGCTCTCCTTCCACTGAGCACTTACTCCTTCAGTTTTTTCGCAGAACATTTAGCCTCATATATGCCATAAATTACACAAATAATTAAAAATTTAAAAAAAGAAAAACCCAAACAAGGAAAAAAAAACCCCCAAAACTCAAAGAAAGGCTCGTCCTATTTAAAGCTAAATCCAAAATTTCTCAGTGCTCATGAATCTTCAAGTCAGATTTTGAATAGTGTTTCATATATCCAATAAGTCTTTCCTCTCAAAGATAAAAATTGGCCTTCCTTTCTGAAGAAATAATAGGGAAAGATGTCAGGACATTATGAAAATGGTATTTTAGTTAGTCCTGTCTGTCTAATTATTTCAACAACTACCCCATAGCACTTCTGGACAATCACTAGGTGACATCTGCCATCTCCCTGCACTCTGAGGTTTTAAAGGCTAGTTTGGAGATACAATACAAACCTACACTCTGAGAAAAGATGAGTACTGGAAAGAAACGTATCTGTGCCAAACACCTTGTTTGGAGGGAAAAAAAAGGCATCATTTCAGTCAGTATATATTCACTGAAAATACGGCCTCACCAGTCAACTGAATGTGTTGGAGTGATTCTGGCAGGGATCCTTTACATCACACGCCTGTTCCTTTGTTACCTCATCTTTCAAGTATTCTGGTGTTTAGTAAATACTTATGAAGAAGATCATATGCAGTTGTCTGCCATTTTTTTTTCTATTACTAGCATGAACCATGACATTTGAACAATGTGCTAGGTTCAGGTTTCTTCTTCTGTGCCTTAAAGCATTTCATAGTTTTGTTTCTTGAAAAAATCATCCACAGCATGATATTTATCCAAACACACTTGCCTAGCAAATTCAATCAGCACAATTCGCTCTGCAGGCATTTCTTTGTTTTTTGGTGGTGGTGGTCAATTGCACAGTGACAATTGTCTGGACACTGGAACAAGGCTGAGTTCCCCAACAGGCAGGTCAAATGATATTTTTAGCTGGTAAGTAGTAGAAGCTCAATTAGTACATGAATCATTTAAAACCAAATTGAACAGAGCAGTCAATAACATTCCTTTGGGAGTAATCTTGCACTTGCAGAGGGATCTGTCTACTTAGCAGCCTCAGGGCTGCTCTAACCTTTGCCTGCGGGCTGGTCCCCATTCAGCAGCCCAGAACAAGGGGAGGGCTTAGGTAACAGTTCTTGTTGTGCATTGCCACCCTCCATTCCCAAATTGAACCCTGCACTTAATCATCACCGGTCATCACTCTGCTCCTTAGACACTTCTTCACTATCCATCACTTTCAATCAAAAGCCCTGGGAATATGAAACCAAGATCATTTGTTTTACTGTAATTGCAAACCCTTATTTTATTTTCTATTATTTTATTATTCTTATTGCAACTTTTGTACAAGTGCACTTGGGATGATAACAGCAAGCTAAGAATATTCACAGCCATCAGAATTAGGCAAGTACTTCTTGCTTCTAAGCATGATGAAACCCCATGCATCCTTAAGTCTCAGTAATTTCACCACACTATTTCCAGGTAAAATTATTGCTGTCATCACATTTCATTCTATATCAGCTTGACTCTACATTCATGTAGCACTTACATCATGTTCAGTTATATTTATTTTTAAAATTTACTTACTTCCTCCACCATATCTGCATGGATAGGATAATTAAGAAATGAGACTCGGGGAAGTAGCAAAAACTCCTCTTAAGCTAGCACTGAAAACTAGGTTGACACAAGTACATGCCTGTGCTGCACAGTGCAGCATAGGTGAAGAAGACCAAGTTAGCACAGACATTCCTGAAAATGCAAACATGGTTCTAAAAGCAGTTTAACCATATCAGAGCATTATATCTTTGAGATTCTACTGACACAAATATGATGCCTGCAGTATGTAAGCTGGCATGATAGTGAGAGCCCAGAGGTGGTTCAGAGGCCACAGTATCATCCTGCAGCATGTAGAAATTGCTGAGCAGTGGTTGTTCAGCATCATCAAGTTTTGGAGTGGGATTTCCATAGGCTGTTTTTGTCTGGTCTCCAACAACAGACTAGGTACAAGGAAAAAATTTTTTTGCAATGAGGATGGTGAGACTAGAAGAGATTCCCCAGAGAGGCTGTAGATGGCTTATACCAGGAAAAAATCAAGGTCATTTTGGATGGGTCTACTGAAGTTGTCCCTGCTCATTACTGGACCAGATGATCTTCAAAGGTCCCTTCTAACCCAAACCATGATTCTATGACC